TTGAGATCTCAACATCAATGATTCTTATGACCAATTTCTCTTCTCGCAAATACATCCCGTCGGCAAATTAACAACCTTGTGATTATCTTCGTATATATTCGGATTACAACTTACTACTTCAAATTATACGAACACCAATTATAATATGTCTTATCTTTTTTTCTATTTTTTTTTTTTTTTTTTTATCTCCTTTCTTCCTCTTTTCTCCTTTCTCATTCCCACCTCGTTAGGTAATCAAATAAAAATGGATACAAAAAAAAGGTCTCGAAACTTGTGCGAGAATACAAATTTAATGGTATATTAGCGAATGATTTCTATTCGGAGAATTTGATTATTTTTACTAAATAAATCCTAATTGTTTGACTCATTTCTGGCAACTTTTACTCCGGAAATATTAAAAAACAAAAAAAAACAACTACTATGCGGAGTAAACTTTACTATCTGAGTAATTTTTTCTATTTCCGAAACAAAAGTTGTATAGATTTTATTTCCAACTAGTAATTTTTTTCCCTTGTAAATACAACTGACAAATCAAACTAATTTATTTTTAAAATTAAATAAAATAATTTTTCACAAAACACAATAAATCGATTAAATTCTTTTCATTGCGACATGTTTCTAAAAAGAAATAAACAGAATCAAAATTGGCAAAGAATTTACTATATCGGTTTATATATATACGTATAGAGAATATTTTATGTGCCAAGAACTTCCTGTTCGTTTTTCACCCTTTTATCGTGAATTTCTTGTTTCTTTTCGTTTAGTTTATTTTTCTCGTAGGGCGATACGACATGCCACAATAATACGCGAAGTCACGGAACAATACGAGCCTGGCAGAATAAAGGGACCTGCATATAAACGACCTGAATATGTATATAACCTGACACGTGCTCTTACAAATAATATTTCACATGACGCCAACCAAAACCAATTCGTGACCCTTAAAAAAAGAAAAAAGAAAAAAAAAAACCCCAAAAAGGCGTACCTAAATTTTTTATGTACAGTTTCAAATCTCAAATCATTTTCTATATCTCTGTCTTCACAGCAACGATATTTTATCTGACGATTTCTATTTTATGCATATGAAATATTTGTTTCTTTTTATAATACATATCTCACGATATAAATTTTAAGACAATAAAATGAAATCTCACGTATAGATTTGTTTTAACATCAAATAGGAGGATCCATCTATATATATTGTGCAAGATTTAATTAATAAATTAAATATATATATATATATATATATATAGTTTGTAAATCAATGTTTATTTTTTCGAAATCTGACGATATTTTTACGAGCACAAAATTTAACGAAATGGAAAATATTTCAAGATATCTGAAATGTCTCTCTTTTTAAAATATATATATATATAGAAAATATATTCTATATATTTCAAATCGCTTATATATATATATATTTTTTTTTTTCTTTCGAATCTTCGTATTTTATTCAAATAAACGCCATTTCTATTCATTTCTATTCGAAGAAGCCACTCATATTTTATTAGGTGACAAAAAAAAAAAAAAACCGAAAAATGATTTAGAAATTTTTCCAAAAAAAAAAAAGAAAAACCGTATACTATAAAAAAAAATACATAATTAACATAGTAATGGTAAAGATAAAATATATAATAACAAATCCTCAATATCATAAGTATACTAAATTCCACAAATTCTTTTTTAAAATCGCGCAACATTTCCAAAATATTCCAAAAAAATTTCAAAAATGATCCTTCTAAAATATTTCAAATTTCTAGAGAATATTGAATTTTTTTGCAATTGACATAAAGAAATAATAAAAATTATTAATTATTATTATTACTATTATTTTTATTTTTGGTATTATTGTTATTATTATTGTTATTGTTATTATTATTATTGTTTATTATTATTATTATTATTATGATTATAGTATATGTATATATGATCTACCAATTATTTAAAAGATTATAAATAATAATTAATGTACACATAAATGTGTTACACCGCAATATGTAATCAACTCGGAAATCTCTCGCACTTTTATGGAGCCGCGACCGGAAGCCATATTGAAAACATAATTTCTCACCCACAGTCGACTATACGTATATGTATATCGTAAACTCAGGATATACATTGAGTACACAAATGTTCACTTATACAAGATCTCTCTTGTCAGTGGTTAACTTCAAGAAAAGAAGAAATCATATTCCAATGGCTTTCGGCCCAGAAAGAACAAAGAACCCGACAAACTTCGTTTTGTCCCCCCCCCCCCTCTTATTTTTTCCGCCTCTCTGATTACAACGCGTGATTACATTACACTATATGAATGATACTTGTATAATTACATCGCTTAAAGTGTACATATAAGAAACAATTGATAAAAAATCCATATATACTCTTCATAAACAATAAATCGTTTGAAAAATTCATTTCTAATTAAAATGAGAAATTTTCGATTAAAATTATAAAAAAATTATAATGATAATAAATAAAAATAAAAATAAATGAAAATAAGGGGTCGTTCACAAATCACGTGACGTTATTTTGTACCCATTTTAGACCCCTCTCCCCTAATGTCACGTTTCGATACATACAATATATAAGAATAAGATTATAATAATAAAATTACCATTGTTTAAAAATAATAGTAATAATAAAAATGAGCAATTCTCTAAATAATATCATGAATAAGAAATACTATTGTATTAAAATAACAATTATTGAAACGAACAGTAAATCGAAAATATATACCATTATTAGAAACAACAATTAATAATAAATTATTTAATATTGTTTACTTTAAACTATTGTTTCGAAAATAATTATAATAAGAAAAGCATTGCTTGAAAATGTTAATTAATAATTTAAGAAAATTTGTATACCATTGATTATTATATATATATAAATAATTAATTGTAAGTAAAACAAAAAAAAAACCCCCAATGAAAGTAAATTAACTTTAGAGTACATAGAATTACAAATAAACCTCTTTGTTTTTATGATTATAATTCTCCTGATGCAAATTAAAAATAGAAATTTTGTAATATCGGTAGCGCGCACAAAAGAAAGCTCCAAGTTTTTCTTTCGTGCTTTTTACCGTTTATCTAAAAATTATTCTCGGCTCTATAAATTTTCATTAGGTATAATTATTTTTATAATTGTTTAGATAAACTTGCGGTTACAAGTGTGGCTTTTACCGAATTCATGTTTCAAAAAAAAATAAAATAAAATTTTTAAACCCACATAATAAATATTACTATTTAAATAAAAAAAAAAAAAAAAAAACAAATTATTCTATATCCCTTGAGAATCTTTAAGAATAAACTTTTCATTTATTTCCATTAAACTAAAATTTGGTATTAAAAAACCAAAGGAAATAAATTATATTAAAAAATTACATTAAAAAATTACATTAAAAAATAATATAAATTAAAAATATATTAAAAAACAATTTCTATAATTATTTTCCATTCAAGGTTTTTTAATTCACGTCATTATATCGCAATACGGTGCAATTTTAATCTATTACAAACAAATATTACATCAGTACGACAGAAAACGAAGAAAAAAAAAAAATTATTTATTCCTTCAAAAATACAGATAACTTGATATCAGTATCAAAGAGAGAAATCTAATTATGATCAATGAAACATTTTTCCAGTTTGAATAATCGCTAATAACAACTTGAGCAACTGGAATTTAAATCTATGGTTTACATATATTACAGACAAGTGGAAAATTGAGTAAACGATTGAAATTTTTTGAAAAAAAAACTTTAAGGTATCATTGAACAAAGAACTAACTATAAACGAAGTAACCATTGCTTATCATGTATTAGATATATAAAATTTATGTTAGTGACAACCATTGGTACACTGAAAAAAAATTTTGATCGGAATAACCAGAATTCTGGTTTCTTTTTTATTCTTGTTACTTGAACCATATTTCTGGTTATTTCAATCAGAATTCTGGTTAGATTAATCAGAACTCTAGTTGTTTCGACCAGAATTCTGGTTAGATTAACTAGAACTTAGATTGTTTCGACCAAAATTCTGGTAAAATTAGCCAGAATTCTAGTTAAATTACCAAAAAAACTCTAGTTATTTCAACTATAATTCTGGTTAATTCAACCAAAATTATAGTTAATGCAACCACAATTCTGATTATATATTAAGTAGAAAGTAATGTTAAACATAACCAGAATTTTTTTCAGTGTAGCTAAAATTTATTGTACCTACACGAATAAAATCTCATTACAACAAATGGTAATTGCACAGAAAATTAAAAGGCATTAAAATAAGAAGCGTTGCAGCTTAATTTAATGACTTTTAATTTTCTGTGTGTAACCACAATATTAGATGTGAACTTTGCTACAAAAATTATAAAATCAATATTGAACCTAATGCCTCGCATCAATTAAGCAATTAAAATCGCTGATTACGATTTACATTTTTAATCAAAATAATTGCTAAAAATAACCAAAACAGGTTCGACTTGGAATTTCAAAAATCCCCCCCAATAATAATAACAACAACAAGAACAACTAAAAAATCATCTCATCAATTTTACAAAATAATTTCAAAAATACATTTTCAAATTTTACATTTATATGTAAATTTTCACCGGTAATTGCAAACATAAAATTCACGAAAAGAGCAAAGAATTCAATGTTTCACCTTCTCATTTAATATATCATTTGCTTTTACATAGTATATATGAATTCTCATAATTGGAACAGTGAGAGAGAGAGGATCATTTATTTTATAACGAAATGAAATAACATGATTTGAATCCGGTTTAAACAAGAATTGTCATGTATGAGAATTGCAAGAAAAATTTATTATATGAGCCAAATGATTAAAGATTAATGACATTATTATTATTAAAGACAAGGGACCCTCAAATATTCCTGGAGGCGAAAATGAAGGCTCTTATGAACGAGTTAATGCTGCGCCGAAGCCCCTCATATATATACATTATATACATTCCGCGGCAATGCTCAGCAGTGAACAGTCGACACGCGGCACTCGATCGTGCAGGATCGTCGGTTCTTTCAAATATTTATTATCAAAAAGTCATGTGCCGGTAATCAGTATACATCATTAAAATAGAGAAATGATAAATAATCACGATATTAGAAAAAAATCAATAAAACAAAGAAATGGATCATCGAGTGATGTTAATATTAAGTGCAATGTCAACTGGCAGTTGAGTAGTAATATAATAATAGTGTGACCTAGTGTAATATTTTTTTTTTTTTTATTAAATGAAAAAAGAATTTCGACATGTGATATAGCACTTTGGATTATTATTTAATTTTTTTTCTAAAAAAAAAAAAAAATCAAAAAATTGATTTTAGTGCACATGGGTGGTCGGTTGTTGCGGCTCTTGGGTTCACCAGGGAACGATTGACCCCTTCCCCCCACGAGTACCTACATGCACACGAGTACCTGGCCCAGGCCACGAGCTTCTATAGCTGGCTATGGGCAAGCACTTAATAACTCACTTGGAATCTCGAGATACCGATAAGAAATTCCGCGTTGGGTCCATTGACGGTTATAGAGCGATTAAACAACAAAAACGGTGGCTGAAAAATCAACAAAATAAAAGGGGGGGAAATTTTCTCGTTAGTGACAAAAAATTGATACAACAATCACGTGTAAAAACGAAAAGTATTTTTATCATTAATTTACTATTTTTAACGTGGATGTGTAGTACTATTGTGACAGGTGTACCAATGCCTAAGCAAACGAAAAAAATTAGCAATTACGATCAGACTTTCGAGATGATCAATGTGAATAGTTTTGATTTTGAAGATGAGGAGGATAACGATATCCTCGAGCAACGAAGCAATGTTAAACGTCGTCTTGAGGAAGAAGACCTAGAGACGATTAGGTCCAGCATCGTGGAGGGTCTCGGTCTCCAGAGGATACCTGATCCAACCAAGGTACCTACTCTCCTTCTTTTCTTCGTTTTATGTGATAATATATAATTAATAGTAGCAGTCATGAAAATAACCGCACTCTAAATTTAGAAAGATAGTAACAAGAATGAGAAATAAAAATTTCCTTTTAGATATGGGGAAAAAAAAAAATTCATCTCGAACAGCGAAAGATTTAACTGTAATATAGCAAAATTTTTAATTGTTTCAGTTAATATATCTTTCACTATTTTAGTGAAATCTTTCGCTATTTTAAACTTTTTTAATGTTTACCACACTGAGAATAATATGCTATTGAATCAATAGCATTTCTGCAAAAGGTATAAAAATTATTGATTCAAAAGCATATGCTACAAAATTTGTAAAATATTTTATAGATTCTATAGCATATGCTTTTGAATTAATAATTTTTATACCTTTGGCAGAAATGCTATTGATTCAATAGCATATTTTTCTCAGTGCAGTTGATTTTTGATATTACATTTGAATTTCTAATCGGTACTGATGCAGAATGACTCCTGATTTTATATAGAAATTAAATAATTCCTATTAAGAAACTACTAAAACGTTATGGAAAATTAGTAATTTTTATTGAATTATTGAAGAAACTACTACAGGTACTACTGTTTGCAAGTAGAAAACTTGTTAAAAAGGAACTGACGAAAGTAGCGAAATTTCTAAAGCTTTAAAAAGAATTAAAACACTACTTTTTAGAAAACCAACACAGAAAATTAAAAGGCATTAAAATAAACTGCAACGCTTATTATTTTAATCCAATTTTTCTTATTTTAATACCAAAATGGATTAAAATAAGCAAAATTGGATTAAAATAATAAGCGTTGCAGCTTATTTTAATGCCTTTTAATTTTCTGTGAAACAGAAGATTTTGAAAACCCAAATCATTATACAAAAACCTAGTGATTTCTAAAAGAAAACACAATCAGTATAATTAATGATCCTACAAATCAGTATGAATCTAATCAAAATCAATAAGAATTAATAATCCAACAAGTATAGAATACCGTCTATTTTTAGTTTTCTTTTTTGTAGAAAAACGTTATTAATTATGTCTAACCTTAGTCTGCAACCGATGTATCACTAGTATCATTTCGGACAAGGTATGTCGGAAAATACACGGAATTTTAAGAATTTCGAAACACTCCCGAAAAAATTTAAAATTTTTAAAAAATTTTCGTTTGTGAATAAAAAAAAAAAATTCGAAGCACTACCGAAACTTTTTCGCTATAATTATCAAAACCGAAAAACCATAAAAGGAATTTTTTTTAACACGATTTTAAAATTATACACTCCCGTTGACCACGTCTAAACAGGTCTATATACAAATTGCAACTAATTGAATTATCTTCAGGATATTTCAACCACATTATTTATGACCTTCCCTTTGTACTTTAATGTATACATCTCGGAGATGCAGGTATAAAAATAATTCCAAAATCGCTTCGACACATTCCAAATAGTTTGAAATTATAATTTTTAAATATATAATATTAATAAATTATAAATATATATTATTTATATATTTTATATATATAATTACGATAACATGAGAAAGTATTTAATTTAACAATGAACATTTAATATATTACTGATTATATAATCAAAATGTTATTTTATTTTTTAAAAATAACATATAATAAAATAAATGAAAATGAAACTGCTTATTTAAGTGATAGTTAGAAAATTATTTCCGTTCAAATCTGAATTCAATAATAGCGTTACACTAATCACTGTCTATATAGAAGACGAAGAACATTATCTTTCAGTTATAACTATATTTCTCTACACATCTTTTATAACATATACATATATGAATGCTTCTTTGATAAAAATATTATATTTAATATTAATACATAATAATGTCAGAAATTCTGTTTACTTTAAACCATTTGATAAAAATGTATCAAGCAATTGTTAATTTAATTACGAGCTCATTCATTTAATAAGATTGATCTTTAACTTTCTCTAAATAAATTACATCACACACAAGTATATATATAGTGTGAAGATCTCTTGCGATAATAAATTATTGAAAATAAAAATCTTCTCTTTTTCTAAGCCGACAATATTTTATTTTCTTTTCATTTCGATATAATAAAGAAAAAAAAATTAATCAATTTTACTTTAATATGTAAATTCATTAAATTCTTTTATAAAAATTCTTTTTAAAAAAATTAAATCACGAATTCTGTCTTTATAGGTCAAGTAATCAAAGTAGTGTTATTTGTATCCGATCATTATTTTATTTCAAAAAAAAAGATATTGAAACAATCAAATGAAATGACGATAATGAAAACCCATGAAGTTTAAACGTTCAAAATAATTTTATTTTATATATTTAAAAAAAAGAAGTCGACACGAGTTTTGAGCAACATATATATATATATATATAAAAATACGATTCTGAATTTCTGAGATATTTTATCAGTTCAAGCAGCTACTAAATTTTAATGATTAAAAGATTATAACACTATACAATTCACGACCGACAAAAATAAGAATAAAGTATATAAAAAATCGGGGATAAGAATTAAAAAAAAAAAATTAACTTTTAACCAAATGATAAAAAATTACACCTAATAAATATATGTATTTAATTAAATTAACAGTCGCGACCTAATTAAAAAAATTATATACCTTTACCATTTCAATTCAATCTTATGTGCGCATAGTTTTTATAATAAATTAAATATTTTCTAAAACATCGTACATTATTATTCGGTAATAATAAATTAATGAAAAATAATAATTATATTAGTTAAAACTGATAATTATTTAATTTGTAAATAGTTATATATATAACTAAAGTTCTGAATGCATTTTAAAGAATAATTATTGATTATTTATTTATGAATATTTTATTTAATTAAATAATTAATTAAATAATTGAAGAATATAATTAATTAAGTATTTGATGAATAATTAATTCAATAATTAGTAATTAATTAGTAAATAGTAAATAGTAATTAGTAAATAGTAATTAGTAAATAGTAATTAGTAAATAATTAGTATTAACTTTGTCAAAAATGGGGAGAAAACAATAAAAAAAAAAAAAAAAAAACGTTTTATCTGGAAAATTGCAGACGCGAGTATAACCTTATCCTAAATTCTCGAATGAAAGACCTGAACAGAAAAACGGTATTTTAATAGAATTCTTTTCAATCAGCATTGCATGTACACGAACATTTTTATGACATCTCTTGGCGTTTCAAGATGCATATAATGCAAGGTTCATTGACACTGTTCTAAAAGGGTTGTCGTTTACATATATATATATATATATATATATATATATATGAGTAAATGTCGTTTGCGCATCGATAACAAAAACAATGTAGACTAGAACACGCAAAGAGAGATGTATTCTAGCTGCAAAGTCGATCGATAAAAGCCGCGAATTACGTGAATTTTCATAAGGCACCAAAGGCACATCCGATTATTGCATTTTCATCGATAATAATTTTCAATCTAAAAATATATTTTCCCTCTTAAAGAGATATGTTACTATATATACATATATATAAATATTTATGACAGGAAATAAATTGAAATCTCTCTCTCGTTCAACAATCTAGAAAATTTCATCTTTACCTATAAATTTCATCATATTTTAATTATAACAAACACCTAATTCTTTTCCCGGAGAGAAAATATTATCTAAATTTAGAAGTCGCATTAAAATTTACGCAAAAAAAAAAAAAGATAAATCTTAAGAGGATAATTTCTTCAATAATGATTTTTGTCATCACTTCTCTTTATATATAATGTGCAAAAAAATTTGAATCAATAAATAATCTTATTTACATTGCTCATTGCAAAATGAAATCTTATATATTCAATCTCTAAAAATCAAAGTATCAAAAATAAAAATTAAATAATTTCTCTTTTTCATGAGGAAAAATTATATAAATAACTTTAACGATTATAATTATGGAATACAAAATGAGAGGAAAATCAATGTAATTTCATGTAATTTACGTATGTATATACATATATGCAACCAGGGACGAATTAATGTATCAGATAAGTACATTGAAACGAGAAATAAGTCAATCAAAATTGATGATAATTACTATATTTCGAAGACCTTCAATAATTCTACCGTTTATAAGCGAAAAAAAAAATGAAATTGAAAAATAATAAACACAAGTCATGAGAAAAAGATATTTTTTACAATTTGACAAAGATTGACATGTTTTGTGTCTATATATATATAATAAGTATATACATATATATATGTATGTTCAAAAGATTCATTACCTCATTATTCACAGCATCTACTTGAATTATATAGCACTTAACATCTTTTATCAGATAAACATTGTATATCTTATTTATAAGAGAATGTTTCTTCGTGCACAGATGAAACTCGAAAGATAATCTTCATCAAAAACCATATAAATAAACACGCAACTTTAAATAAAAAAAAATAACAAAAAATTTCCTAATCTCTTTATTATAAATATATTGAGATCAATGAAGAAAAAAAACCAAATTTTCACTTTAAAAAAAAACTATTTTTTTATATCGTTAATATTTAAAAAGCAAAAAAAAAATAAATATGAAAATAAATTTTTAATATTTTTCTGTAAAATATATGGAGAAATAAAGTCAAGTCATAAAACAATAATTCCCCGTTTTATATGAAGAAATATGTAAATCTTTTTTTTTTTTAAAGAAAAAAATAAATAATTGTCGAATGAATACCGCAGACAGGTATATGTATATGTTTTTATTGAGATCAAGCGTTTAAATTGCCCGTCATATATGTATATGACATTAATGTTTATAGGCGCGAAAGTATCTCTCTTTGATTTCTATATACTTACAATATACATTTATTCTCTTATATTTATAATGCTCGCGAGATCAACTATAAGTGAAAAGAGGTTAAAAGGAGAGAAGCTAAAAAAAAAAATGTATTCCTCTCGACCTCTTAAAATTAAGGTAATAATCACCTTTTCCAATAAAAGACTACGCATAAAAGA